ATGGCGGGGTCCTGCGACTGTGATCGCGAAGGAGTCCAACAGCCGTTACTACGTATCCTGGCGTGGTCACGTGCTACTTGTTGCTCGTGAGCAGCTCCGGCACGCCTCCTCCCAGGAGGCCGCAGCTGCGGAGTCCATCCAGACGGACGTGCGACTGACACAGCAGCGAGATGACCGCGCTTACCACGACATCGTGGACGTCACGCCCAAGGTGAAGGTTCAGAAGGTGAAGAAGACGTTCTTGAAGAAGGAGCGTGACCGACATGGGGAGCTCGAGGGGTCCAGGCAGCCTCGTGTGGACCTGAGGGCCCTGGACGCCATTGAGGCACAGGCCAAGGAGGAGGAGCCGCCTGAGCAGCAGCAGCTGCCGCAGCTTCCCCCTCCGAAGAGGGAACGTTCTCGTTCCCCTCCAGGGCAGATTTCCTTTGAGATGTACCCGAAGGCTTCTCCGGGAGCATCGGGCTCTGGCGGCCCCTCGGTGCCGCCGATTCCCAGAGACGATTTCGAGCTTGAGCGAAAGCGGAAGTTCCTGGTAGATGACGTGCCAATTTGCATCAAGAAGACGCGTCTGCAGGCTGCTCCTACGAGTGGTTTGCCGGCCCTCCGCGAGGTGGCCATGAACGCCGTTGTGCACTCGGGACCTCAGGAGTGGTTCGACCAGAATGCCTTGGATGGTGTCTCCACGCTCGTTCAGAAGGTCGTACGAGGAGTACGTGTACACCGAGAGCCACGGCGGAGACTCTATGATCACGACCGCCACCGGGAGTGCAATCGCCTCTCGGTGATGCTCTCCGCTACGGGCCAGTGTGCCTACAAGGACGACGGCGCGAACCGTACCAACGAGCGCACGGAGGACAGCTGGGTTGGTCTCACGCTTTTCTACCACGACAAGCCGGACGCTCATGCACAAGGGGTGTACTATTTGGACACTCCGGAGGGTCTTGTACGACAGCCGATGACTTACGAAGAATGGATCAACGTGTCATCTGTGTATGACGCATGGCTGCAGGAGGCCCGGTACGAGCACGACGTGTTCGCACTCGTGATGAAGCAGAACGCGAAGGAGCTAGACCCACGTCACTTCAACCAGCACGAGAAGGCTAAGTTCGACGAGGCCGATGCCGCCGAGTGGCGGCAATGGATCGCCAACAACACGGTCGAGCTGGTCACCGAGGAGGAGGAGAAGAGCATCCCGAAGGACAAGATCATCTCGGTGCCCATGCGTTCGGTTCGCACGAACCGGGGGCGAGGGCTGGAGCTGGAGGCGAAGTCTCGCTTGATCATCCCTGGCCATCTCGATCCGCAGCTTGGTTTGTTCAGGACGGATTCGCCTACTACCTCCCCTTTGGCTGTGCTGGTGTGTGCGTCTATCACAATGGCGATGGATTGGACATTCGAGTGTTTCGACGTAGCGACTGCGTTCCTGTCCGGGCTGAAGCTGGAACGGGAGCTGTATGTGAGGGCTCCTAAGGACGGGCTTCCAGCCGTCGACGGTGCTGGATGGCCAGCCGTGCGGCCTTATGCGTTGCTTCGCTTGCTGAAAGGGGCGTACGGTCTGACTGAGGCGCCTCGGTTGTGGTATCTCCGAGCCCGCCAGGTGTTGACGGACGAGGTCGGTTTCGTGGAGCTGCGCTGTGTTCGAGCTGTCTTCGTTTATCGAATGAAAGACAAGTTGATCGCTATGTTGACCTTGCACGTCGATGACGGCATGCTGTTTGGAGACCCACACGATCCCCAGTACCAGGAGGTGAAGGCGAACATCAACAGTCGTTTCAACATCAAGCACTGGAAGAAGGGCAACGACAAGGAGGCAGTCGCCTATCTCGGTGAGGAGTGGTGGCGCCGCCCCGATCACATCGAGATCAGCATGCACGAGTACATCGGCAAGCTGACGAAGCACCCCCTTGCAAGGGGTGACAACGAGGAGCGGGAGATGACTCCCGAGGAGCACCACGACTACCGGAGCTTGCTCCAGAAGGTGCGGTGGCCTGTCGCACGCGTGGTGCCACAACTCGCGTATAGTGTCTCGGCGCTCGCACAGAAGGATCCGAAAGGTCGGAGGTTGCTGCACCTGCGAGTGCTCAATGACATCATCGACCGGCTTCAGGACTACGACAAGAGAGGTCTCGCGACTCTCCGGTTCCGCCGTGTGGACATCGAGCGCTTGCAGGTGCTCACGCTTATGGACGCTTCGTTTGCGAAGGAACCCGGCTGTAAGAGCCAGATGGGGTTCATGAGTATGATTACGGACACCCGAGTCTTGAAGGAGCTAACCGTTTGCTGTCTAGTGGAGTTTCAGAGCAGTACTATTACACGAGTTGTTGGATCTACGATGGCCGCAGAATCTGCGGCTATGTCCGTGGCCTTGGATCGGCAGCTTTACCTCAGGCTGCTGATTGAGGCAATCTTGCACGGGGAGCCGCCCTTGCAAGGGGACTGGAGGCTGGCGCTGAAGGTTCCAGGGGCGCTCGTGACGGATGCGAAGTCGCTCTACGATCACACGTCCAAGATCGGGTCGATGCCGGTGTCTCGGCAGACCCTCATTGACTTGCTGGTGGCCAAGGATTTGATAGAGCAGGAGGCCATCAAGTTCAAGTGGCTGCCTAATAGCCACATGCTAGCGGATGTGTTGACAAAAGCCGTGCAGCCTAACGAGGTACTATCGCAGTTCCTCCGCCACGGCCTGTTCAGCATGGTGCCTACTGCTGAGCAAGAGGATGAGGAGGCACACCGTCTGCGGCTGCGCCGCGGACAGCGTGAGCGAGCCAAGGAGCGGAAGGCCCAGCGTCGGGTCGCCGTTCCAGGGCCTGCGAGCCCGTGAGTTCCTGATTGCAGCTGCTGATGGACCTAGTGAGGGCTACGGTGATGTACGCATATCTTTCAGTTGATCGTCTGGAGTAGTGTATCCAGATATTCATATTCTTGTATTTATATTTTGAGCCTCAGGCCGCACCTTGCTTGAGGTGTTTCATGCATACCTTTTGAGTTGACAGTCTGGATTGGTGAATCTAGACATTCATATTTATATTTCGAGCCTCAGGCCGCATCTGCTTGAGGTGTTTCGGCCCGTGGGCTGATATACATTATAATTGCGTGCAGCGTTGCCCTTTCAGAGGGAGCGGCATCGGGGCAGCATTGTACTCACCCAGTGTGAAGAGTGCACTCCCCTGCCCCTCTGCCGCCCGTGCCACCATGTGTGTATGTTGTACACGCTTGTCTTGTTTTGTGGCATGCACGCTGCCCGCCGCTGTTTTGGCCCTAGTCCTAGGGCCCTGGGACGCACCCGCAGTTGGACTGCCGCGCGGTCTTTGCTGAAAACAACTGCACTGACAATAGCCACCTTTTGAAAACGACTTGTCCTCCATCCTTGAAGCTGATGTACAATTTCCAGACGAATGTGCGCGGCGCTCAGGCGATAGCCACATTTTGAAAACGACCTGTTTTCTATATTTGAAACTGTTGCAAACTTTTCAGACGAATGCGCGCGGCGCTGAGGCGAGAGCCACATTTTGAGAACGACCCGCCATCCATCCGTGAAGCTGGTGCAAATATCAAGTATCTGAATCACAAGTGGCGAGGAAGTCTCAGGCGAAACGCCCGGCCTACCGGCACGTCTGGGGGTGCGACAGGGAGGAGGAGGAAGAGGAGGAGGAGGAGGCGGAGGAGGAGGAACAGGAGGAGGGAGACGAGGAGACGAAGACGAGTAGAGGAGGACGAGGATAATGAGGAGGAGTAGGAGAAGAATTGTGGGGGAGAGAACACGGAAGGGGGATAGGGGGGGATCAGCGCTTGGCCGTTCGAGGGTGATGATGATGATGATGATGATGATGATGATGATGATGATGATGATGATGATGATGATGATGATGAGAAGGAGGAGGAGGAGGAGGAGGAGGAGGGGATGATGAGGGGAGGAGGAGGATAGTGGTGGTGGTTAGGATGCGGATGAGTGAGGATGAGGCTGAGAATGACGATGAGGATGAGGATGAGGATGATGATGCTGATCATGAGGATGAGGATGAGGATGAAGATGAGGATGAGGATGAGAATGAGGATGATGGTGATGGTGATGGTGATGGTGATGGTGATGATGATGGTGATAGTGATGATGCTGATGATGCTGATGATGATGATGACGATGGTAATGATTATGATGATGATGATGATGATGATGATGATGATGATGATGATGATGATGATGATGATGATGATGATCATCATGATGATGGTCGTGATGATGATCATGATGATGATAATGATGATGACGATGATGATGATGGTGGTGGTGATGATGATGATGATTATGATGATCATGCTGATGATGCTGATGCTGATGCTGATGCTGAGGAGGAAGAAGAGGAGGAAGAGGTAGGACAGGGAGGGGGATGGGGGATGACTGGCAGTATATTCGATCATACTTCGAGATGAGTTGTTGCATGCGTTTCGGTGCTTTCAGCCTCCAGGAGCTCATTGTTGCCACGACCGCATCTGGCTGGAAGTTCGGGTCAGAACGCACCCCAGGACAAGCCTGACAGTCGACTTCGAAGTGGGAAGCGGGACCCCCTCGCGTCGTGAAAAGACTACGAAGGAAGGTTGTTGACACTGCTCGGTCTCCACGGGCCTTCACCAGGCCTTGAGGCCGCCAACGAGCGTCTCGGCGTGAAAGGTCCCGCGCAAGGGGTCGGAGCCTTCGGGGTTCAACATGCTTTCAATGAGGACAACCACCAAAGAACGTCGGGGGGTCTGGGGGTGCGGAGTGGGGCTGATCGGAAGGTGGATAAGGCCAGGGCGCCCGGACGGGGCCAGACCAGGTGGGGTTGGAGGATCCCGACGCATCGGCGATGCATCGGACATGCGGCGCGACCCAGGGCCCGAGTTCTTGCGTCCCGAGGTCGCCAACGCATCGCCGATGCGTCGGCGAGCAGGGAAAGGCTACGAGGATCTGTGCCGTCGGGAAGGACTAAAACGGGGGCAGGAGCGGCCGAGGAAGGGGGCGGAAGGCAGTCGTCCGCTGGCAGTATCTCTTCGAGGACAGCTACATGTTTGACAGCACGATCCCCGGGTGGCATTCGTTCGGCCGGGAGGACGCCGCGAACCTCGAGAGCGCTTACCAGGCCATGGACTCCGCGAGCTCCGAGCCGTGCCTGAGCAGACTTAGTGCCGGTGGCTACAGGTACTCGAAGAAGAGAAGACGGCATGAGCAGAAACGAATTGTTCGAGGTCCGCGTGTGGTTCTTGCATCGGCACGGGATCCCCCTGGTGCCGCCCCTGGCGCGCCCCGCGCGCCAGGCCAGCAAAGATCCATCAGATCCGCGCGTGCCCTCGAAAGCTGATGCTTTGGCCTTTTCCTCTTCTTCCCAGATACGAGGTTGACGTCCGAGGGATGGTGCAGAGGATCGGCGCTGCGCCGAGGGGAGGAGTGAGAGAAGGTAGGCCTTCTCAGAAGGCGGCGGGGCCTCTCAGAAGTCCGCCGGCCTTCCGAGAAGCGGCTCAGAAAGCTTCTCAGAAGATTGGAGGCCTTCTGAGCCTTCGGACCCATACTCCCGACGTCCTGATTGTTTCGCAACGTGGGTACCCGGAGGTCTCAACCCATTCCCCAAGACTGGTTTCTCATCCCCTGCGGTGTTTTTTCCGTCCCAGGGCCCAGCGAGGGCCCCCAGATGCTGAGCATCGCAACTCAAGTCCTTCCGTCGTGATTTTCTCACGATGCGGGGGTCTGGGGAGAAGGCCCGCCCCCTCTGCCTTCCCCCGGGCGCGCCGCCGAGAGGAACCTGCAGACGGGCAAGAGCAGGGCCGTGCGCCGCGCAGAGTTCCGCTACCAGTCGCAGGTGGTGGAGGACGGCGGCAGCTTCGTCCTGGAGGCCCGCCTGCGGGGCGGTCAGGAGGCTCGGCGCGGGCCAAGGGCGGGGCGGGGGGGTACGGTAGGTTCGCGTCATGTCGACCGGCGGCGACCCCGCCGCCGGCGTTCAAGGTTGAACGCCGCCGGCGATCCATCATCGGCCGATGCTGAACATGGCGTTTCGCAAATGGCGGATCGTAATAGTTTGAACGATTCCCGCGGTGTCAGGAACCGTCGCCAGGGCCGGCACGACACGAACCTGCCGTACTTGTCGGCACTTTCCGGCTGCCCAGTGTAGCTCCCTAGCAGCCAGCTTCGAGCTGCCCAGGGAAGCGCCATGGCAGCTACCCTCGGGCGCCTCGGGGAAGCGCCTAAGGGAAGCGTCCTGGCGGGCACCTTCGGGTGCACGGGGAAGCTTCCAGGCGTACAGTCAGGGCGCTGAGGTAAGGACCGCTTCGGGCTTCGGGTCGGAGGAGTGGAGGGCAGGGGAGGCACCCATAGGTCGTCGACAGTAGGTATTCTTGGATGCCCAGATGCCATTATGTTTGAGGCGCCTTCCTATCTCAAGGATCGAGTGGTTTTCATGATTCCTTCGTCTTCACGGGGCGGGCGGATATCCAATATGTTTCCAATGCCTTCCTACTTCAGAGGTTTCTATGTTCATACCCACTGCGTTCAACCAGTGTGCAACAAATGCTGCACTCAGCGGGCTTCGGCCCCGCCGCTGCGCACCCTGCTCCATGCGTGGCCGCTTCCGGCGCCAGGAAAGCTTGCTGCGTGAGCTGATTTGTTGCTCCCCTGACTCCTGATCTGTTTGAGGCGCATTTCCACCACGACTTGGAGTCGGAAACTCCACCGAAGCAGCCAGAGCCAGGGTCTCCTGACCCAAGAGGTGAGCTGGGCGTGGGAGGTGCAGGGCGACCGCGGCGACAGCCTCGACTTCCGGGCCGACTTCGCCGCGGACTCCGCGGCGGGCTCGCTGCTCCCCTGGGGCGCGGCGGAGACGCTGGCCAGGGGGTCTCAGAGCGAGCACGCGTGGAGCTATGCGGCGCGCGGGGCTGGGCGGCTGAGGTCGGAGGGCGCCGAGTGTACACCTGCACCGATCCTGGCCAGGCCGGTCCTGGGCCCAGGATCGGTGCACCCTGACTCCAGAGCAGAGTGCTTTGGTCGACTCTGCGAGCTGAGATCGTGTCGGGAAGGCACCCCAAACGACGCGATCAAGTAGGGTGGAAGTTTCCGCCACTCGCCCAAAGTATGGAAGATCAGGAGTCAGGGCAACTATACACCTGCACCGGTCCTGGCCAGGCCAATCTTGGGCCTAGGATCGGTGTAGAGTGCAGATGCCTCCTGCCCAAGCCAGGAGGGCGTATACACCGATCCTGACCCCTGGCCGTGATCCCAGGACCTTTGTATTTGGGGTGATTTCCGATTTACATTTGTGTCAGAAATGCGACCCAGAGGATGCGGAACAGTCGGGCGGAATTTCTTGGACGCTCCACGTATCCCATGGAAAGTGTAGAAGCATGCAGCGGAACAACCAGTTTGCAAGAGTTTCGGGGGCGCTGAAACTGTGGGAACATTTGTTGAACCATGTAACGAATGTTCCCATGGCGCGGCGGCTTCGTTGGGATATTACGTGGTCCCTCTTGGAGTTATCTTGAAACCCTTCGTGGGCGGGGAAGCTATCTTTGGCAACGGGAGGAGGAAGGAGGAAAGGAGAGCAGGAGGAGGAAGAAAGCAGGAAGAGGATGCACCAGTAGATGGATGGGGGAGGAAGAAGGAGACGACGATGAAGACGATCACGACAACGACGAGTCAACCATGAAACCGTCGCGGAGCTTCCGCTCCGGAAGCTCCGCGAGCTTCTTGGAAGCCTATTGAAAATCCCCTTGCAACTACCCTGCGAAGACCCTGCAAAGACCCTTCAAAGACCCCTGCAAAGACCCTGCGAAGACCCTGCGATAACGCAGAAACGTTGATTTTCCTTAGGCTGCTCAGCGGGTTTTTCCTCTTGAGACCCTTTTGGGGCTGTTTTGGGGCGTCTTGGGGCGCCTTGGAGGCCTCTTGGGGCCGTCTCGGGCCCCAGGGTACAAAGCGAGGGGAGCTTTTATTCCCCAAATAGCTTGCTGAACGGGGTGGTGTTGTGGTAGAAGCTAACTCCAGCCGAGGGAGAGGGGAGCAGAGGCATCCTCAAACAAAGCTGGTTTTCTATGCCGTTTCGATCGACATTTTGAACAGCTGAGCTCCAGGACGCTGCGCGCGAGGAGTTCTGGTCCGTGCCGTTTCGCCTGAGACATCCTCGCAACTCGGGCCTCCGAGCTGCCGCGCGCGAGGTGGTCCGGACCGTTTCGCCTGAGACATCCTCGCAACTCTGCGCTCCGAGCTGCCGCGCGCGAGGTGGTCCGGCTCAGCTCCGAGCTGCCGCGCGAGAGGTGGTCCGGCGCGTTTCGCCTGAGACATCCTCGCACCCATCAGCTCCGACCTGCTGCGCGAGAGGTGGTCCAGCTCGTTTCGCCTGAGACATCCTTGCAACCTTGGGCTCTGAGACAATGTGCGCATGGGTGTGTGGCCTGTTTAGCTTGAGATACTCTTGCAATTCGGGGTTCCGAGATGCTGCGGGTGAGGTGGTCTGGCCCGTTTCGCTTGAATCATCCTCGAAACTTTGGGCTCAGAGAGGGAGGAGAAAGGAGGGAGGGGGGATCTGACCAAAACGAACCATTTGATTGCATTTCTGTTGTCGAATTGTGCTGTGGGATGGGTCTGGGCGCCGCCTGAAACATCCTGGGGACTCTGAGCCAGATGTCGCACGCGAGGTGGTCCGGTCCGTCTCGCCTGAGACATCCTTGCAATTTGGGGCTCCCATCCTCGAAACTCTGGGCTCCGAGAGGTAGGAGGAGCCCGACTCAAGCGAATCATGTGATAACAAATGTGTTGTCGAATTGTTCTCTGGGAGGGGTCTCCGCCTGAGACATCCTCGGAACTCTGAGCTCCCAGATGTCGCGCGCGAGGTGGTCCAGCCCGTTTCGCTTGAGACATCCTCGCAAGTCGGGGCTCCGAGATGCTGCGCGCGAGGTGGTCTGGCCCGTTTCGCATGAGACATCCTCGCAACTCCAGGCTCCTTGAAGATGTGCGCAGGGTGGTTCAGCGTGTTTCGCTTGAGACATCCTCGCAACTTTGGACTCAACGAATGTGCGCGAGGTGGATCGGCGCGTTTCGCATGAGATATCCGACATCCTCGCAACTGGGCTCCGAGATGCCGCGCCAGTGGTAGTCTGGCCCGCTTCGCTTGAAACATCCTCGAAGCTCTGGGCTCCGAGAGAGAGCGGGGGGAGCGAGGAAGGGTCAGACCCAAATGAACCATTTGATTCCAATTCTGTTGTCGAATTGTGCCCTGGCAGGGGTCTGGACGCCCCTGGCCCGACGGAGGAGGTAGCAGGCGCCGAGGCGCGAGCGCGACCCCTTGGTAGGTTGCAAGGGCTGATCAGGGAGGAGCCATGCTAGAGCAAATCGTGGCGGTGTCTCGACGAGGGCGCGGCGGGCAGGGAGGAAGCAGGATCGGGGAGGAGAAAGAAAGGAGGAATGAACTTCGAGATGCTGCGCGAGAGGAATAATGGAGGAGGGGGACGGGACCAGGCTCAAACGTTACCTGCCTGAGGGCATCCCCGGCGAGGGTGCCTCCTGGAAACGGCATCGAGAGTGCGAAGGCATCCCTGGCATAGCGGAGGCAGCGGAGAAGAGGGAAGAGGAGGAGGACGAAAAGGCGGAGGAGGAGGAGAAGGAGGAGGAGGAGGAGGAGCATGAATATGGAGAGGAGGAGGAGGAAGATGGGGAGGAGGGAGGAGGAGGAGGAGGAGGAGGAGGAGGAGGAGGAGGAAGAGGAGGAGGAGGAGGGGGGAGGAGGGGAAGAGTAGGAGGGGGTGGTAGGGAGGAGGAGGAGGAGGAGGAGGAGGAGGAGGAGGAGGAGGAGGAGGAGGAGGAGGAGGAGGAGGAGGTAAAGGAGGAGGAAAAGAAGGAGGAGAAGCAGGAGGAGGAGGAGGAGGAGGAGGAGGAGGAGGAGGAGGCGAAGGAGGAGCAGGAAGAGGAGGAGGAAGAAGAGCAGGAGGGAGAGGAGGATGAAAAAGAGGAGGAACAGAAGGAAGAGAACGAGGAGAAGGAGGAGGAGGAGGAGGAGGAGCAGGAGGAGGAGGAATGGGGTGAAAAAGACAGGATATGGAGGAAAAGGGCGAGGAGGAGGAGGAGGAGGAGGAGGAGGAATGCGAGGACTAGGGGGGGGAGGCGGAGCAGGAACAGGAGGAGGAGGAGGAGGACGAGGAGGACAAGTAGGAGGAGGAGGAGGGGGAGGAGGAAAAGGAGGAGGAGGAGGAGGATGGGGAGGAGAATTGCGAAGCGGAGGAGGACGAGGAGAACGAGGAGGAGTTCGAGGAACACAAGGAAGAGCACGGCGAGCAGGATGGGGAGCAGGTTCGGGAACACAAGGAGGGAGCCAACGACGAGGTAGAAAATGAGGGGAGGAAGAAAACGACGAGGACGATCCGCATCAGGAGCAGGAGGAGGAATTCGTATTCGGAGGGTTACGAGGGGGAGTGCGATGAGGAGATACAGGAGGAGGAAGGAGAAGGAGGGAGGAGGAGGAGGAGGAGGACGAGGAGGAGGGAAAAGGAATATCAGGATGGGGAGGGTGATAAAGCGGAGGAGGAGGAGGAGGAGGAGGAGGAGGAGGAGGAGGAGGAGGAGGAGAGGAGGAGGAGGGAGGAGGAGGAGGAGGAGGAGGGAGGGGGAGGGGGAGGAGGAGGAGGAGAGAGGAGGAGGAGGAGGGGAGGAGGAACGGGAGGCACGGGAGGAGAGAGGGGAGGAGGAGGAGGAGGAGGAGGAGGAGGAGGAGGAGGAGGAGGAGGAGGAGGAGGAGGAGGAGGAGGAGGAGGAGGAGGAGGAGGAGGAGGAGGAGGAGGAGTGGAAGATGGAGGGCGGAGGCGAGAATGAGAATTGGATGCGGGACAGGGGGGGGACGACGGCGACGATCGCGAAAAGCTAGACGACGACGCCGAAGGCGCAGGCGGACCAGAAGCAGGAAAACGCGCGAAAACTCTCAGGAACCACCTTGGCTCAAAGACGCTGCTTGGGGATAGTGGGCTCTGGCTACAATGTAGGCGCACCTCCTTCGGAGGCTCAAACTGGGTGTCTTGGGGCCCTCTTGTGGCGCTCTTGGGCGCTCTTGGGGCCCTCTTGAGACCCTCTTGGACGCCTCTTGGGGCTCTCGTGGGCCATCTTGGGGCCATCTTGAGGTTTGACAGCCCATCGGGAACGAAAGGGCGAGAAAACAACATAATTCTAGACGCCTCGCGTAACCCCGCCAGCCTTAATTATCTGGCGTGCTTACTCATGCTCTTGCTTGCACTTCGGCGCTGGCTTTTGGCCCGCTGATAATTATCTGGCGTGTCCCCCCATGCTCGATACTACCCGCTCTATGGAACCGTCCTTGGAGCCGCAGATCAAAAAGTAACCCCACCAGCAGGCTGCGAATCCGCGTCCGCCCGCGACCAAAAAGAAGTAACCCCACCAGCCTCCGCAGCCTGGCTCAAGCCGGGGCTTCCTCCCCTTGGGATTAATGCTCGAGGTTGGCCAGCGAGGCCTGGGGGCCGCTGTCTCCCCCTTGGTTCGGCCTGCCTGAGGGGCGCTGGAACGGGTCTCCTCTTCCAGGCGCCCCCCCCCCCGTGCCATGTCCCCGTCTCCTGGCGTGCCGCCGGCGGCGCTGCGCCGCGCTCAGCGCTGGTCGGCGGCCGCGCGGCTCGCCGCCACCCTGGCTGCCGGCGGCGGCGGCCCCCCTGGCTCGGCCAGCTCGGACGTGGCCAGCAGCACAACGGCAGCGTCCACCACCTTGACTCCCCTGCATCGTTGCCTGCAGCACGCCGCAGACGACCAGCAGCACGACCCGAGCAGCAGGGTCGCGACCAGTACGTCACGTGCAGTGCGACGTTCGGGGCAATCCACGGTGGGCTCCACGACGACAGTGAGCAGCACCGTGAGCGTGGACGCGGCGAGCAGCGTACGTCGAGCAGTACGATGTCAAGTGCTACGCAGTCGAGCAGCACCACGCCGGCCAGCACTACGGAGAGCAGCGGCACGACGGTGAAGGCTTCGACAGGGTCATTCACTACCGCGCTGCCCGGGACGAGGTTGTCGACGGCGAGTACGAGCGGCTCCCGCGGCACGACGGCCAGCTCGAGTGTGACCCGCCGCGCAACTACATTGTCCACCACCTCGACTTCCAGTGCATCGTTGTCTTGCAGTACGTCTCGGGCGATCGCCAGTGCGTCCTCGAGCAGCACGGTCACGGCCAGTACGGACTCGAGCTATGCGACCTCCACAGCCACCTCCATGGTGAGCTGCACGACGACAGTGAGCAGCAGCGTGAACGAGGTTGAAACGTGCAGCACAATGTCGAGCAGTACGTTTTCGAGTGCGACACTATCGAGCAGCCCCACGGCGGCCAGCACTACGATGAGCAGCGGCACGAAGCTGACAGATACGACAAGGTCATTCAGACCAAGCGGACCGAGACGAGCTCCTCGGCTATTTTTAGCGGTACCAGCGGCTCGACGGCCAGCTCAAGCGTGACCAGCAGCACAATTGCATCGCCCATCACCTTGACCCGTGCATCGTCGCCTGGCAGTACGCCTCAGACGACCAGCAGTGCGTCCTCGAGCAGCACAGTCATGACCAGGACGGCCTCGAGCAGCGCGCCGTCAACGGCCCACAACGACACCGTGCTGCTGCGTGTGCGTGGCGTGACGAGCAACGCAACGTCGTGCCGTACGACCTCGATTGCGACACAGTCTAGCAGTACCACGCCTGCCAGCACTGTGGTGAGCAGCGACACGACGCTGACGGATACGTCAAGGTCATTCCATACCTTGTGACCGAGACGAGTACGGCAACGACTAGTACGAGCGGCACCAGCAGCACGACGGTTAGTTCGAGCGTGACCAGCAACACAATTTCATCGTCCACCACCTGGACTTCTAGTGCACCGTTGTCTTGCAGTACGTCTCAGACGACCAGCAGTGAGACCTCGAGCAGCACGGTCACAACCCGTACGGCCTCGAGCATGGACGTCCACAGCCACTTCTACGACGGGCCCCACGTCGGCACGCAGCAGCAGCGTGAGCGGAGTCGAGACGAGCAGCGCAACGACGAGCAGTACGAGTTCGTGTGCGACACAGTCGAGCAGCACCACGCTGGCCAGTACGACGGTGAACAGCGGCGTGACGCTGACGGAAACAACAGGGTCACTCAATCCCACGCTGAGCGAGGCGCACTCTTCTATGGCCAGCACGAGCGGCACTAGCAGCACGGCGGCGAGATCGAGCGCATCCAGCAACACAACTGCATTGTCCGCAGCTGGACTTCCAGTTCATCGATGTCTTGCAGTACGTATCACATGACCAGCAGAGCGACCTCGAGCTGCACGGTCACGACCAGTACGGTCTCGTCCAGTGGGGCGTCCACGGCCACTTCCACGGTGAGCTCCATCGCCATTGAGCCGCAGCGTGAGCTTGGGCGAGTTGGGCAGCGCAACGTCGGGCAGTACGACTTCAAGTGCGACGCAGTCGAGCAGTGCCGCCCGGCCAGCACCACGGCGAGCACTGCCACGACGCGGACGGATACGACAGGGTCATTCATACCACGCTGGCCGGGACGAGCCCTCGACGGCTAGCACGAGGGGCACCACGGGTCGACGGCCTACTCGAGGGTGGCCAGCTGCACAACTGCATCCTCCACCACCTTGCTTCCAGTGATTCGGTGTCTAGCGGTGCACTCCAGACGACCAACAGCGCGACCTCGGGCAGCACGGTCACGACCAGTAGGGTCTTGAGCAGTGCGACGCCCACAGCCACTCCCACCACGACATTGAGCAGCACCGTGTGCGTGGTCGCGACGAGCAGCGCAACGTCGAGCTGCACGACTTCGTGTGGGACACGGTCGAGCAGCACCACGCTGGCCAGCACCGCGGTGAGCAGCGGCATGACGCTGGCGGACACGACAGGGGCATTCAATGCCACGCGGCCCGGGACGAGGTCTCTGACGGCCAGTACGAGCGGCTCCAACAGCACGACGGCCTGCTCGGGCGTGACCTGCCGCGCAACTGCATTGCCCACCACCGTGGCCTCTAGTGCATCTTGTCTAGCAGGATGTCGCGGGCGATCAGCAGCGCGCCCTCGAGCAGCACGGCCATGTACAGTACTGTCTCGAGCAACGCGACCTCCACAGCCACCTCCTCGGCGAGATCCACGACGGCAAAGAGCAACAGCGTGTGCGAGGTTGAAACGAGCAGCACAAGTCGAGCAGTGCGTGTTTGAGTGCAACACCATCGAGCAGCACCATGCCGGCCATCTATACGATGAGCGGCGGCACGTCGCTGGCGGATACGACAAGGTCACGCAACACCACGCGTGACCGGCAACGCAACTGCATCGTCCACCACCTCGACTCCCAGTGCACCTTGTCTCGCAGTACGCCTCAGCTGACCAGCAGTGCGACCTCGAGCAGCACGGTCGCGACCAGTACGATCTCGAGCAGCGCGACGTCCACGGCCACTTTCACAACTACATGGAGCAGCCGCGCGAGCGTGGTCGCGACGAGCAGCGCAGCTGCGAGCTGCACGACCTCGATTGCGACACTAACGAGCAGCACCACGCCGGTCAACACCAAGGTGAGCCGCGGCACGACGCTGACGGACACGTCAGGGTCATTCAATACCACGCTGACCGAGATGTTTTCTCCGACGGCTTGCACGAGCGGCAGCAGCAGCACGACGGCTAGCTCGAGCGTGTCCAGCTGCACAACTGCGTAGTTTATCACCTGGACTTCCAGTGCCCCTTTGTCCAGCAGCACGTCTCAGGTGACCACGGTGCGACCCCGGGCAGCACGGTCGAGAACAGTACGGTTTCGAGCAGAGTGGCGCCCACGGCCACTTCCACGGTGGGCTCCACGTCAGTATTACGCAGCAACGCGTGCGGGGTCGAGACGAACTGCGCAACCTCGAGTAGCACGATGACGAGCGCAACACAGTTGTGCAGCACTACGTCGCGCCATCACTACGGCGGGCAGTTGCGCGACGCTGACGGATACGGCAGGGTCTTCATAACATGATGACCGAGGCGCGTTCGTCGACGGCCCGTTCGAGCGGCGCCAGCAGCGCGACGGTTACCTCGAGCGGGGCCAGCAGCACAACTGCAATGTCCGCAGCTTGACTTCCAGTGCTTCGTTACATTACAGCGCGTCTCGGGTGACCAATAGAGCGACCTCGAGCAGCATGGTCGCGACCAGTACGGTCTCGAACAGTGCAATGTCCACGGCCACCTCCACGGCGAGCTCCACGCCACATCGGGCTCTAGCACGGGCGTTGTCGAGTCGGACAGCGCAACGTCGAGCAGCACGAATTCGAGCGCGACACATTCGAGCAGCCCCGTCCGGCCAGCACACGGTGAGCAGTGGCATGACGGCTACGGTTCGACAAGTTCTTTCCGCACCACGCTGTCCGGGACGAGTTCTTCGACGGCCAGTGCGATTGGCACCGGCAGCGCGGCGACCAGATCGAGCGCGGCCAGTAGCACAACTGCATCTTCCCCCACCTTGGTTTCCAGTGTTTCGTTGTCTTGCAGTACTTCTCAGACGACCTGCAGTGCGACCTTGGGCCCCCCCCGCCAGGTGTTCCCCTGGCCTCTGGTGGTCCCCCCCCCAGCGCTCTGCCCCCCCCCACCCCCCCCCGGCCCCTGCGGTTTCGCTGCACCCCCGCCGAGCTTCGGCGCGACCAGCACACGGGAGCCCCATACGGCGGCTCTCCAGCACGCCGCCCGGCCGGGGCGGGCTTGGCGACCATCCCGTCTCTCGGGGCGGCGGGCCGCGGCGAGTTGTTGGCTGGCCCCGCTGGTCTCCCCCATGCCTCAGGAGGCCCCCCCCGGTGCTCCGCCCCCCCCCCTCGGGCCCTGCGGTGCCTCCATAGCCCCCCCCCCCCTGCAGGCCACTGTACTACGCGGGCGACTGCGATGGAGGACGCCCGCGTGCTGCTGCCCGATACCGACTTCAACATTTCTGCGGCTGTTAGCTGCGACCCCATCCGCAGCAAGGATTGCCCTTCAGCGCTCCCCGCGGGGCGCTTGTGCCAGGAGATTTTTCGCACCTCCGCGGCCTCTGCGCTCCCCCTGGGGCGCGGGGGCCAGCTGGCAATGAACGTCCTGGATCGACTGCCCTGGGTCTGTCCGTCTTCTCACTAACTCCGCGGCTGTTAGCCGCGACCCCCCTCAGCAGCTCGGCCTGCCCTCGCTGCGTCCTCCAGGGGCACTCGCGCTTCCCGCTTCTTCGTTGACCGATCTTGCTGGCCCCTTTCCGCGGGCGGGGCGCGGGCTCACTGGCTGCGCCGCGCCCTCGCCTTCACTCACAGGACGAAAACATGTAACCATAACCGCGGGGCCGTTCGCATGGCCCCAGCGCCGACCCCACACGCGCACGCAGTAATCAGACATAGCCACGCCACAATAGTCATACAACGAGAACAGTCATATTCATACGATAGTGGTATATTCAGGGGATATAGGTTATTTAGTGTAGCTGTTCTTAAGGCTGGAGCACGATTTGCAACCATGAATGAATAAAAGCAACAAATATGATTTTGTGTATTCGTACATTCCCCTACGGTCAAACGTGCGTTCGTCGCGAGACCTCGGATTCCAGCGTAGCCAACGCATGCTGACTTTACGTAGCGCAATGACATACTCTGATGTATTGGTCATCTTTTGTCTGCGAGAAACATGTGTCTTTGGTGCCAGAAGGGGCGGACGTCTCTGGTCGTTTCCTTTACTCGAAATGCCCCATGTAGGAATTTAATAATTGAGGGGCGTGGAATTCGCGGTGTGTCGCCACTTCCTTTCCATCGTATCCGTAACCATTTTGGCTCAAGCTTCTTTTTGTGTTTTTGTCCAGCTTGCCACGTGTCAACTCTGAACACTTGATATCATGAGCGGCCTTTGGACACGTGGTGCCGAGACTAAGGCTGGAGAGACGTTCTGTACGTTTGCTTTGTCGGTTCCCAAGATGAAGCCGATAAGGGGCACCAATGAGACGAACTCGAGGGTCAGGTTTCGAAACGCCACTATCCGCGTGATCGACTATATGATGAAGCACCCACAGCAATCACCAGAGTTGTGGGGCCAGATCGAGAGCGGCCTCGTGGGCAAAACCGTGACCAAGAATGGTAGCGGTTCGGGCTCTGCTGACTCTCCTGACAAAATTGATTTGACTTGGGCTGGGAAATCTGTCGGCAAAGTCCATCCTAAGGTGAAAGCGGCGCAGCTGGCGGCGCTACCGGATGGACCATCGGAGGCCCTTCTTGATCTCATCGATGATAATGATGCGTACGCGATCAAGGATCTCTTCGCATTTGCGTTTCAATACAAATCGTCTGACAGATTTACGGACGAGATGGGAGACATGAGCACTTGGACACTAATGAACATTAGGAGGAATGCTCAGATAGGCATCGACTTCGGTTCTTGGGTCAAGGATTGCGTGAACCCCGAGACTGGCGTTATCGATTGGGAGTGCCGTCCTCTCTATACGCCCATTTGGGAGAACGAGTACCTGGCGTCCGTGAGGTTCATCAACGGCGACACCGCCTCCCCTCCGAAGGGCGTCTTTATCACATACGAGTACAAGCTGGACAACCCCTTCTGCGCTGAGGAGGCTGGATGGGTTCTCGACAAGGTCAGGTACCCTTGCAAGGACTGGTTCTCTCTCCAGCATGGGCCGAACAAGTATCGCATCGACAAGAAGGGCAAGATGCTGATCGACCTGTACACTGGTGCTGCCTCCGAGATCGCGGCCAGGCAGCAACAAGTCATGGCGCTCACGAATGGGCCATCTCTCGTGAGTTTGGACACCCGCGAGAAGCGCAGGAGGGAGGAGGCCCTGCAGAAGGCGAGGAAGCGCCTCGCCACCAAGTCGTCCGAGTCCATCCGCATGCTGTCATGGGAACAAAAAGGATGATACTCCATCGTGAAGTCGGGCACGCAGTGGTAGCAGCCAGCTTTGTTGCGTTGGCTATGTTGCGTAGCTCTAGGCTGTGAGCTCGACGGCGCAGCGCGCGTGGGGTTCCAGCGCGCGCCCTCGCTCGGCCTTCTCCGCGCCATGGCCCTCGCACTGCGCTGGTGCACAGCGCGATCGTTCACTTCCTCCATTGTCTCGTCGGCTGGACTGCCGTCTCGAGCAGCTCGCGTCGCAGCGAGGTCATAGCGATACGGTAAGCTTTACGCTGCAGCGCGACAGTTCTGTATAGATGTTGAGCTCGTGCTGAACACTCAGAGTGGCTAGAGCTTCTGGGTCCCGCCATCCACTCTAGAGAACATGTGTTGGTCCATCTCTAGCAGTCGTGTAGTCGACCTCCCACTCCTGATCCACCCCTCCGTCGCCTCCTCGTCCTCCTCCTCCTACTCGTTATCCATCTCCGCCGTCCTACTCCTACTCCTCGCCATTATTCTCCTACTCCGTATCGCTGCGTCGATGCGCAGCGTGGCGCAGCCAGGGGTGAGCAGTGCGCGTGGAGGCTGGGGGGTCGGACGGGAGGTGGGAGGAAGGATATGGAGGAGAGGATTTTGGGGTCTGGTCATTCAGACACCTATTTGCGGAGGTAGGTGCGGGGGCGTGGCGGGGCAGCGCGGGGAGTTGGGGAACAGGGGGAGGGGTGGGGCGGCTGGGGGGGGCGATGAGGAGGAAGGACGGGTTATCTGTCACACGGCTGGGGCACGTAGCGAATCAGATGAGCGTAATCGTGTAGTTACGTAGTGGTGTAGTAAACCCAGAATGCCATGTGCGCAGGGCTGCAGGGGCGTCGGGGTTACCTGTAGACAGGTGCATCGCAGGTTGGCTTGGGGGCTCGTTGGGGTCCTTTCGGGGCCGATGGGCAAGGGACTGAAAACATAACCCTTGGTGGTCACCCCTGCTCGTGGTCATGCCGTTCGCCTTCCTGGCGGGGAAAGGGGCATCTGCCTCGGGCACCCGTGCTGATCAGATACGTCCCCATGCGAATACCAACGGCCACCGATCCCACTCCCATCGTAGCCGTTTTGGCCCAAGCTAGTTGTGCAAGTTCATTTCGCAGGGCGCGCATATACCAGCGTGACGATGCCGCCGCCAGTAACAACACCAGAGTTTCGGGTGGCGAAGCTCGTGTCTTGCCTCAAGAAGCACCCCGCTGACAAGGATCGCCTTCTCGCGCGCATTGAGAAAGGACAGGCCCTCAACATCAAGGGGGTGCAGTTCACGATCGAGGAGATGGAGCTGGCGTTGATGCAGTACAACGAGTGGACCGACTTGCCCGACGATGAGAAGCCCTTCCACATGGGCGAGGCTGCCGGGTCTGGAGATGCTGCTCCACCAGGCGCCTTTGATTTCGATCACCTTCAATTCGCACTTGTGCCAGTGCCAGTGGCGCCACCGCTTCCACCTCCTGCTGACCCGCCTCCCGACGACGTCGCGCCAGCCACGACTACGAGCGACGCCACGCACCCACCTCAGGGCCTCAAGTGGACAGACTACGAGCTCAGCGCCTTGGAGGGGACGCTCAACGTGTTTCGGGATCGCGTCGAGGGCCGATGGTTCGTTGCCCTCTCGACGACGTGCGAATGGGTGAAGTTGGAGCAGACTCATAACCTCAGCACCTTCGACGTCGAGTTTGGGTTGGACGGCGCCCCCACGATTATATTCGAGGTGCTGCCCGAGGGCGTCGACGGTGATGGGCACGCCTGGGAAGTCAACCATACGCTTGGATTCATTTCGCTCGAGTACACGACCAAGGCAACCAATGCCAAAGTACTGATATGTAAGGAAGCCAACGATTACTTCGGGATATACTCATTATCAGAAGCCGTGTCGCGCCACACCTCCCACGTCGTTCGGATGAAGACAGGTGTCGGAGGTGCACGAGTCACACTTGTTGTTTTTCGGTTTGGAGTTAAACGTAAGTTCGCCAATTTTTATGTCGTAGTGAAGGACGTGTTCAATATGCTGGACTTGGGTCGAACTACTGCCAGCGGCAGTGTCTGGGCAGCGAGGTACTGGCCTTCATGGGAAAAGTATTTGAAGAAGCTCGGCATCACGAGCGTCGAGAAGTCCGTGCAGACTGAGCCCGACAGGAAGAAGCATGGGGACGACCCTACGAGAGTATTGAAGTGGCCGTCTGTCTCGACAGAGGCCTTGTTTGCGATGTGTTGTCGCTGGGCATTTTGTTCGCAGCAGCAGGGTGGCTTCTCGCAGGAGAAGGACCAGGCCTCTGCCAAGCTGATCATCGGGACAATGATGAAGATAGCGATGCGTGGGAGATCTACGATACCGCTCTACTTCAAGAACGTCAGGCGAACACCCTTCGGTCAGATCATTGGCGACAGAGGCCCGTTCCACGTGAAGATTGACGGCAGTAGCCTCGACTTGAGCATCTTCCAGAAGAACCGCATGAGGGCCGACGGCGTCGAGGCGGTCCGCTTCTGCACGTATTTGGAGAAGGAGAATATCAACGGCCAGGACATCCGCATCATGACGTTCTTGGAGGCCATCGCGCCGTCGGTCCACTGCATGAGCACGTACTCCCAGATCTGCTGGCGAGTAGGCGAGTACGTCGAGAATGCTATCAGCACGAGCCTGGACCACGGCCAGCGGTTCGACGACTTCGAAGCCTCGAGCCCAGACGACTGCAACACCTCGGAAGCTCAAGTCGGCCATGAGAACGCACTGTATTTGCTCGGCTGCAAGGCCCACATAGATCAATGTGGCGTACAGTTTTTGAGTTCCGCCACCGACAAGTCTCGCGTGAGGGGCATGGGGCTGCAGAACACCGCCTTCGCGACACCAGATGGGGTCGCCTGGTGGGCCCCCACGCAGGACCAACGGGGCGATCAACGCGGCTGCTGCCTATGTGCTTCCTCCGCTCCCCAAGCGTTGGGGGGCGGGGGGGGGGGTCCGAGGGCTGGGCGGTTACAACCGTTTGATGGTATACACCTGACCATGCCATCAAATGGTTGTAACCGCCCAGCCCTAGGGAGTCCCCCGCAGCCCCCACGGGGAATTTTCTTATAGGCCCCGCTGGCTGCACCGAGGTGGAGGGGGGAGGGGGGCGAGGAGGAGGAGGAGGAGGAGGAGGAGGAGGAGGGGGATGAGGAGGAGGAGGAGGAGGGGGAGGAGGAGGAGGAGGAGGAGGAGGGGGAAGGGGGCTTCTTTTCTGGGGGGGGGGGAGCTAGCACAAGCCAGTGCACCCAGCTCCTTGAGGACATCGCCGACTTCACAGGCCACAGTACCATGGCGAGCATCCTGTCCGACGCCGGCGGCGACGCAGCACCCGCCCAGAGGGATCTGCAGCGCGCCTGGTTGAAGAGGAAGCTAGACGAATCAGCCACGTTCAAGCCGAAGAAAGTTCGCCGCAAGTCAGCCTTCCAGTGGCTCGCTGCTCTCGGCAACCAGGTCAAGTCATTCAGCATCGACGGCGGCCTGCAGACATACAGCCAGCCAGAGGACATCTCCACGCGCGAGCCAGCGCTGAAGTGGCCGAGGATCTCGGCCGCCTGTGACCTCGGATCGGACGGAGTTAGCGCCCTGAGCTACTGGATTCACCAGTTGCGAGGCCCGCTGCATTGTTCGAACCACACGTTGGGCAACTAAACACAAGCCGTCGTTAGGGGTGATTGGGCAAGGTGACGGGGGAAAGGGGATGGGGCACCTCACGCAACAGAAACGCACACCTAAGTTAGTACCATACCTAGCATCACCCCCTCACCCTGGTGGGCGAAACGACGGCATGTGTTTACGTTGTTCGGGCTGGTCGGCGCAGGCAGTTCACTTCTGAATGATGCAGCGGAGGCTGCATCGACGCGATCCCTGACCCCTCGCACGGTGTTCACGACGACATGTGCAACAGCCTCAAGTTCGCTGGGTTGTTCGATCATTTGCTGTCCGACGTCATCTGCATCAACTTCGCGAACGGGCCCTGGTCGGAAGACACCCACTTCAAGCGCATGCAGCAATGCCCCCAGGACACGTTTGAGGCCAGCTCCCCTGACAAGAACGCGTTGTTCCAGGAGATGATGAACGACATGTTGGCGGACCCGTCGGCGAAGGACATCCGTGGTGACGAGGACTGCGGCCAGCTACTGTGGGACGCTATTCCAGAGAGCAACCCATTGGTAAAACGTGGAGGCAAAGCTGTCATGGGCAGGTTCATGGAAATCATTCGCCGCATCAGGAAGGAGCTTAACGATTACAATGCCAAGAGGTTCTGCGTCCTCACCACGTGCCTCGAGCTCGACCTGCTGAGCAGCAAGGCGGCCTTGAAGAGACTGGACGCGCCCGCCGACGAGAAGACGACCAACGTTAAGAAGAACACGGACAAAGTCGAGCTGGACTTCGCTAGGGCTTGCCTCAATCAGATGGCCATCGCTGGCATCAGCATGCTCGACCCGTCGTGCAAGCGCAAGGACCACATCATATGCCAGGGAACTCTGCATTGGGACAAGTGGCACAGCAAGCAGAACACTGAGCTGAGGTCTTGCTTCGCTTCTGCGGACTGGATCGTGAGTGAGCTCCGCTCAAACTTCATCGATACCATGTTTGCGGGTTGGGCCGACCTTTGCAATGAGCGAGTGATGAAGGAGAGCGGCTTCCACGTCCCGACGACCGTGGCCGAGCTGAATTCCTTTGACCCTGAGGATTGCGACGAGGGCGAGGACTACTTGGCCTTCACCCTCTTCCACTTGAACATGGGCACCACGTACTATCGCTCGATGAGGATGGGGTGGCTGTTGTTGGGACCTTCTTCAAGGTCCGCGCTGTTGACGCGCGGTGGCGACGACGCCAAGGACGCTGCCGCTTATATCCGCAGGTGCCGCGACCAGTACGACGAGTGTCAACGTCGTGGAGCACACGCCCGACCTCCAGGCCGTCGTCGACCGCCACGTCTTCAAGCGCGTGTCCGAGGAGCAGGTGTACAGGGTGTTGAAGGAGGCCGACTTCACCATCACTCAGGACGTCGTGGCTTTCTCGAGGAAAATACACACCAAACTTCTCGCGAGCCAGGTCGACGAGGACGCGTTCAACGTGCAGAAGAATATGCCTAAATACAAGAACCGCCAAGGCAGTGTCCAGAGAGCCTGGAGAGGACTGGTGAAATCCAAGATTCTTTCGACTCGCCACAAATTTATTGAAGTACAGCCTTCGTTTCAACCGGTGGCCAGGGACATGTCTGTACCAGAGGGCTGTTTCAAGACCAAGGCCAAGGATACGCCGAAGGAGCTTCACAAGATCATCTCGTGCAAGCAGAAGACCTCCTGGCCGTCTCCTAGGAGCGATGCGTGGTCTGTGCCTTACGGCGATTTAGTTCTCATCGACTTCGCCCTTCGGTCAGGAAAGATGAACATGATGCAGCACCGTTGGCTCGGCGGCCTCATGCGCGACTGCGTGGCGGTCATGGCAAGGAGGAAGGAAGCAGGTGACGCGGCCTCGGTGCCAATGCTCCCGTGCGGATGCATGCCCGACTCTGTCGTGGTCATGTTCCCCTTCAAGGAGATGGCCGTCCCGAATGGGGGCGCAGTTTTTGCACCCGTGCGACCTGCTGATCCTCTAGACTTGTACCAGGCCGTCGTCAGCCTTGATGATTGGGAGGGCTGTTGCATCACGGTGCAATCACCATTGACTTTGCGCAGGAGTTGCGGCTTCGGCGGCGATGCTGGCGCAACCGACCTTGGACGCATTGGACTCCGCAAGGTCGACGGCCACAGCTTCGAGCACATCCTCAAGGCGCTGGCCAGAGTTGCGTTCAATAGCGTGAGACTGCCTTTGTTGCAGAGGCTGGCGGCTCACCTTCGGGTCGGGGTGGATCCAGGCGCTGGCCTCTTCGGCACCCTGGTCGCCCTGATCAGCAATATCTTGAACCCTATTTCGGAGAGTGATATTCTCGATATCCTGGCTAAGAGGCTCACGAAGATGCACTCCAGAGTATGTGACTCCATCGATGACCTCTTGGACTTCGAGGACCAGCTCGTCTGCTTGGACAGGGACGACTTCGGCAAGCTGCAGGAGACCAGGAAGAGAAGCGAATATTCGAAGGAGGTCTTGACTGACTACATCAAGGAGTACGCCAAGATGCGCGAGAAGGTCAGACCCGAGCCCAAAGCTAAGGCGAAGGGCAAGGGCAGGGGCAGAGGCAAGGGTGCTGGCCGCGGGGGGGCCGCCGCTGGTGGCGCTGGCGGTGGTGGCGGTGGGCCTGCTGGCCCACTTCCTGACGGCGTGCTGGGGCAGCATCAGCTGAGGGGATTGTGCCCCAACGGTGGGCATATATGGAGGTCCAATTACAGTCACGCTTGGATGTGCCACCTTCCCCCGTTCCCTAGGAAGAGCTACTCTTGGCAGATTTATGGCCAGCGTGGTGCTGCGATCAACTGTTTGCGGGACCTCTGGACGTTTTTTTACCAGATCAACGGGGGGCAGATTACAGACTGCCCCATCGTCGGCCTCTTCGCAGCTGATGGGGACGGTGCCCTCCCACATTGAAACGGTGCGCGTGGCTGGGACAACAGTGCGTGAAACACCTAACTACCATAACATAGCCGAACTAAAACATGTCCCAGCACGCTGCACGTCCTAGAGTTGTCTAGGTGTGCATTCGAATTCCAAATAATTTAGAGCGCAGTTGCTGTGCACGCTTGTCAATTTCAGGCCCACGTGATAACTTGAGTAGTTGAGTAATCACACACATGTCGAAACACACACACACACACACAAACAAACAAGTCCGGTTCTCCAAGACCTTCTGATTCCAGGGCCTCGTCTCGGTGATGCGGTCGACGCCGACTGCGTGCATGTCGATGTGAGTTGTATTAGGTCGTATGCTTTGTTGAAAAGCACTTGCGCCAGTGGGCCGTGGGGAGGCCTTCGCGCGCACGTCTGCGCCGCTGCTCGTGCGCCGCCGTGAGTTGGCGCGATCGGGGGAGCAGTTGGACAGAGGGGTGCTTGACAAAGATAGTGAAACATGCATACACCTCACTCTTAGAAGCGTCCTCCTCCGTACCGCCCTCCTTCTTCTCATTGGCCTCCTATCGTCCTCTTCATGCCCCCCCCCTCGTCTTCCTCCTCATCATTGTCTCCTGGACCCCACCCTCCCCGTCATCATGATCTTCATAATCCTGTTTATCCTCGTTCCTTCCCCGTCATTTCCCCCCTCCCCTCGGCCCCGCCCCTCTCTCCATTTCCCCTTTGGTTTGAGAAGATTGCGTCGGAGAGCCATGCGTTTGCGGAATATTATTTGCCACGCTTCGCGTGCCACTGGATCTGTGAATCGCGCTTCGCGCTTGCCGCCTTCACCCCGCTGCACTTACGAACGTGTATGGCTTGTTAACAATTAGCTGTGTTACCACCGCTGCTAAATTTTAAAGTCTGAGGCTGCTCGGTGTTAAAGGTTGGTATTGCTCCGATTGGATTGCTCGGGCACCATGGGGCAGTGGCCGCTTGAGGTCCTCCGAGATGCTTCGAGGTCTCGGAATCGGGGGTGCTCCTGTGGCAGGCTACCCTGCCCCAGGGTTGCGGTTAGAACTTTACCCCTCCAGATTCACATGCGAACGACTGCGTCGCAACGGGCCGGCGCTCCCCCCGGGGCGTCGGGGCATGCTGACAGTTATCATCCCAGGTCGATTGTCCCGACCGCCTCCCGCGGCGATCCCCCGCTGGAGGCGCACGGTCCGCCCTTGACGCATGTTTTTCCGCGGCTGTTAGCTGCGACCCCACGCGCAGTATGGCAGCCATATCTCTGCGGTTTTTCGCCGCGGCCCCATTCGCAGCGCGTCCCTGGCCCTTTGCGGTCGCCCCGGGGCGCGCGGGCCAGGTGGTTCATCGATTTGCCGTCTCTGGCCCGTCCACCGCCCCGCGGCACCCCCCCGCAGGAGCTGTATGGGCCACCTGGTGGTATTCTGCGTTCGGCTTCGCGGCGGAAGCACACGTGCCCACTGGCCGAGGCTTCTTTGATGACTCGTTCTGCCGATCGGGGTACCTGGGACGCAGAGGCCCGATTGCACTTCGGAGGTCTGCTGCTTACGCGGTGTGGTTCGCAGTTTTGTGGTTGACGACGGCGGCGCTGTTTCCTGCATTGGCATGCGCTTTGTCAGAGACGTGGTGTGTCTCTTCGAGGAGGTCGAGGTCACAGGTGTGCTCAGGCTGGTGGTCTTCGGCTTCTGAGCTGAGCTGAGATTAGTTGCTTGGCGCCTCTTCGCTGTTCGTTCGCCGCCCGCGCTCGGCCTCGGTCCCCGGCGTGCTGATCGGATATTACTTGTTTTTTTCCGCTCGCCTGCTGTAGTGCTGGCCTCTGTCCTGCTCGTTGTAGGCCTGGTTTTCGTTCGACTCCACGACGCCGCGCGGCTGTCCGCTCGCGGTTGCGAACAAAAAGTAGCCCCGCCAGCCCGTCCAGAAACGATGCTCAGAGGAATTGCCTTGATCAGCGAAGTGGACAACAGACTCAGGAAGGATCCCCCAGTGGCGGCCTCTTGGAGCGTCTTGGGGGCCTCTTGGCGGTCGCGGACGTCTCTTAGAGCGTCTTGGGTGCCTCGGAGAGCTTCTTGGGGCCTCTTGGGGGTCTTTGGGGGGCCTCTTGGAGGCCTTTGGGGCGCCAGTTGGGGCCTCTTGGGGCCTCCTGGGCGCCTCTCGGGGCGCTCTGGAAGCGCTCTTGGGAGTCTTGGGAGCGTTCTTGGAGCCCTCTTGGGCCATATTGGAGTCAGCGTGAAGCCTCGGATGGCCATCGGAAGCGAAAAGGCGAGAAAGCCCAACTCATTGATTTTCCTGAGGTTTTGGAAGGATGTTGGCCTCTTCGGGGCCTCGTGGGGGGGTGTCTTTGGCCACTTGGAGCCGTCTTGAAGCTGTCTTGGGGCCTTTGGGAGCATCGTGGGGGCCATCTTGAGGCATCTTTGAGCCACCTTGGTGGTCATCTTGGGCTCTCCCAGGCGCTCGTGGAGTCATCTGAAGTAGTGCCCCCCCCGCCCCCCAGGAGGCCCAAATGTGTCAATGATTTTGGCATTCTCGCCGAGGCCTCTTGGAGCGTTTTGGGTGCCTATGGGGGGCCTCTTGGGGCCTCTTGGGTCTTGGGGGCTTCTTGGGGCCATCTTGGGGCCATCTCGGGGCCTTTGGGGGCCTCCTGGGCGCCTCTTGGAGCCATCTTGGAGGAGATCGATCGCAGGAGGGGGGGTGACTCAATTAGCTCTCCCCCCTTTCAGGAGGCCAAATGGGGCAACAACTTTTTAGTAAAACCAATGATTTAGGTTTCCTCGCCGAGGCCGTTTTGGACGCTCCAATGCGTCGCGGAACCCCCCGTCCAGGTCCAGGGGAGGGGGTGGGGGGAGGGGTAAGCCCCTCCCCGAAGGAGGAAAGGAGCGGTAAAAGAGGAAACGCTCTAGACCAACTAATTGCGCCCAAAGGGCTGGTGGGACTTAACACATTGATTGGCCTCCGGTTGTTGAAGGGTCTTGGAGGCTCCCTTGGGCGGTTCGGAGGGCCTTTGGAACCATCTTGGGGCTGTGTTGGGGCCTGTCGGAGGTATGTCGGAGGCGACCTTGAGCCATCTTGAGCTATCTCGAGTCATCTTGGAGGCCAGATTGAAGTCTCTGAGGCCCTCTTCGAGCCATTTTGGGGGCTCTAACTACCCGCGCCCCCCCCCTCCCAGGCCCAGGAGAGGGGGGAGAGGGAGGGGTCAAAACACCCCCTAAAATAATAAGCCGCTTATCTCACCCCCACCCGTCCTTTCAACACATCAGCAACACCCGACGATCTTGCACAGGCCGATCATGGGTTCAGGATCGGTGTAGACGCCTCTGCCCCAGCCAGGAGGGAGTATACACTGATCCTGACCCCAGGATGAGACTGTCCAGGATCGCTGGAAGTCTATAGTTAGGTCAGCATCGTTGATCCCACCTCCATCCCCATTGGGCCATGGTATCTCAGCCCCGCCAGACCACCCCCCAAGATGAGGAGAGGCACCACGAAGCCCGACGGGAACAGCACACATCCCCATCTAGGGGGGTAGATCGGTTAGTGGAGCCAGGGTCATGTCAGTGGGGATGGGGATAGACGAAACGATTCTCAGTTGGTGCCTACCTATGAGGCTGTGCTGGAGCAGCCCCCGGTCCTGGTCCGCGGCCGCGCCCCGCGTGCTGCTGGTCGAGTGCTGGCGGGGCGCGGCCACCGAGGAGGTGGCCGGCCTCCCGTGCGCCGCGGAGTGGCTTGCGGCCGCGGGGGTGGCTGAGCCAGCAGGGGATGGCGAGGTTCGGAGGAGGGAAAGACACCGCTGCAGCGTCCTTCATCGCCACGACCGGGTTCGCCTAGAAGTCCTGGTCAGGGCGCGCCCCAGGAGAGGTCCGGCGAGCGGCGGTACCGGCATCGGCTGGTGTCTCCAGAGGCGGCAGAGGCCCGCGGACCCGCGGGAGCGGTTGGTGGCGCGGAGGAGGAAGAAGAGGGCGAGGAGTGGCAGGATCCTCGGGCGACGAGGTTTTGAGATTATTACGCGCACCGGCCCCGGCCAGGCCCATCCATGGCCCAGGATCTGCGCGCATGCCTCCCTGGCCAAGCCCACGGGGGGGCGTATCCACCGCTCCTGGTCTCAGGATGGGCCCGTGCAGGGGCTGAGGATGTGCACAGTTCTCGTCGCCCTGAAGGAGGGCGAGGCGGAGTCCTTCTTGAGGCCCTTCAGCGCCCTCGGCATGAGGGATCCTACCGAGGGCATGGGGAGGGAGGCGGCAGAGGCGGCAGCCGCTGCCGGGAGTGCCGCGGCGACTGAGCCCCCCTACTGGTCCGGGCGGGCACGGGCTTGCCCAGAGGGCTGGCACCCGGAGCACGTCGGCGACGAGACCACTCTCGATGCCCTCAGGCGCATGCTCGCAGTGGCCAGGCCCGAGGAGCTCGGGAAAGGCTACGACGTGAAGAGGTACTCCCGCACCTACAGGCGGCTCGACATCTCGGGCCCAGGACCCCATCGGCCATGTTATTCCTCTCCTCCCTGGACTCCCCCATTTCTCTGACCTCCCCTACCCCCCAGCGACGGTGGGGGGGGGAAAGGGGAAGGGGGAAAGGGGAGGTAGGAGTGGCATGAGTGGATTGGCTCCCTGGCCTCCATATCTACGCCGCCTGGCGCATCGAGAACCCCTCCGCCTTCCGTATCTTCGCCGAGAGGCGCTCGCAGGTGCCAGGGCAAATGAAGCTACAGGAGTAGTGAGGCTGATTTTTGTTGTCCTCCTTTTCCTCTGGGTCACTTACGCAAGGTCACGAAGATAGTCGCACTTCGCGGTCTGGGCTAGAGAGGCGATCTTCCCCTGGAGCCTCTAAGGGCACAACGCGACAGCGCGAAGATGACCCAGCTTCCTCTCCTCCTTCGTTATTTCCCCCTTTCCCAGGGCGAGGTGTGGGGAGGAGGTGAGCAATTCTCAGCTGTCCTTGCCTCCCCCGAACTCCGACGTCGTGTTTTTTTCACAACGTCGGCTCGCAGAGGTCTGGACCCCTTCCCCGAGCACCAGTTTCTCATCCCGTGCAGTTTTTTGCACGGTCCCGAGCTCTGATGAGGGCCCTCGGAGTCCAAAAACGGCAAGAAACTTCCCGTCGTGATTGTTTCACATAGAGGAGGTGGGGTCCTTCGCTTCCCTGAACCCTGACTCCAGATCCACCTTACTCTGGTTGATTGTGCGATAAAAAACTGCGTCGGGAATGCACTCCAAACGATGTGAACGAGTAGAGCGGACAAAAATCCGCTGCAAAGATAAGGCGGATCTTCACAAAAGGGTACGGTGGACACAGCGACGGCAAAGTAGGGCGGACATCGACATCGAAGACGCGTGAAAAGTAGGGTGGAAATCTCCGCACAAGCGCCAAAAGTACGGCGGATTCGGAGTCAGGGGAGGTGGCGCGCCAGGTGAGGGCGCTGCGCCAGGAGGGGCTTCTGGAGGCGCCCGCCGGCGCGGCCACGACTGCTGCAGGGGCCGGCCTGCCAGGTCGTGTGGACCCAGCGGCGAACGAGGCGTGGCTTCTGCACGGCTGCCCCCCGAAGGTCGTGGCGGACATCTGCCAGCACGGCCTCAGCGAGCGGTTGTCCTCGATGCGAGGAGCAGACGTCGGCACGAGCGCAGACTCTCGGAGGCCCGCGCGGACTTCTCGGATCGGCGCCGGACCCCTCTGGCGCGCTCCGCGCGCCGGCCAGGTCCGGCGCCGATCCGAGAAGTCCATGCGGACCTCCGAGAGTCTATGTCTGTGCCGTTCTTTCTCTTCCTTTCTCGATGGGCGGCGCCTTCGGGGCGGGCATCTACCTGGCAGAGCACGTCGAGAAGATAGACCAGTACAACACGGCTGACTATCCGGAGGGAGAGAAAAAGGGGGCCATGACCAAGATCGAACGCGGAGAGGTCGGAGCCGATCTTGGTCACCGTCCATATTGGTCAGCGTCAGTTCCTGAATCATCCTCGCGGCTCGGCGACGGCTGGCATGAACCTACGACCCGGACCCCGCGACATCTTGGCCATGGCCCTCGTGTCTCTGCCCTCGGCTCTCGCCAGCGGGGCGAGGGGCTGAATGCTCTGCACGGCCGCCTGTTCGGGGCGGAGGGCGGGCCACGGCACCCGCTGCACGGGGAGGACGACCCCAAACCTGGCTCCGAGAACGACCTGTTCTACTGCTTCGTGGTGAGGGCTGTGATCGGCTGGCCGGTTCGCACGCTCGGCTGTTGGCGCAAGGCGAGGTCGCCAGCCTCGATGGACCACGATGCCATCCCGTCGGTGCACCAGGACGATACTCGCCGAGAGCTGGCTATCGTTCCGGGGACGGGCACCGCAACGGTCCCGAGGTACAGGTTCAATAGTTTGATTGCAGAGCTGGGTAGGTTATTGATGCGATATCGTGAGTTTGTGATTTTCGATCGTACGCAAACTTATGCTGAGTACCTGGTGGCATACAGACGGCTTCCTTCGTGAGGGAAAACTGCTGCTCCTCCTCATCGTCTTCTTCCTCGTCGTCCTCTTTCTCCTCATCCGCACCATCCTCAGCATTATCCTGATCCACGCGCCTTCTCCCACCACCACCACCACCACCACCACCACGTTATCACAACCCCCTCATCCTTCCTCCTCGCCCGCCTCACCCTCGTCCGTGGATCCCCTGCTTTCCGCCTCGTCATCTGCTTTCTCCTCGTCTCGGCGGCGCGCCAAGTGAGAAAGTGAGAGGAGGCGGGCCTTCTCAGAAGGCGGCGGGGCCTCTCAGAAGCCAGCTGGCCTTGTGATGTGGCTTCGGAGAGGGCGTAGAAGCTTCTCGGAACACCAAAGGGTTGTTGAGCCTTCTGGGAAGGCCCGCCCCCTCTGCCTTCCCCCCTGGGCGCACCGCCGATCCATGCCCTCTGTGGCCTTGGGAAGTATTGTTATGGTATGATCTTCTTCAGTTCCGCGTGGCAGAGGCACGGTAGATGTAGAGGAACAAATGGCGTCTTGGTTCTCAGCGATCAGTGCCCATGTTGGGAGTTGCTTGTCATCCTGCCACTCATCTCAGCGTGTACAGCACGGTAGTTGGCGTCGCGCGATTAGGTGGTCTTGTGCGCAGCAGTAGTGGATGTTGCCATGGCTGTCTTGCCAGTGCAGGCTTCTTCTTCTTCCGATGGTTCGGGTCGGGCCTTGATAGAATCTCAGCGAGGTTGTTCACTACGCTGCGCGCCGCCTGTAGGTGCAAAAGCCAGCGATGGCAGTTGCTCTGAAGCATCTGTTCGACCCCAGTTCTAGTTAAGCTCGACTCTAGCTCAACTCAAGTTCGACTCAGGCTCGACTCGAGTTCGAATCGAATCGTCGGACGTTCGACGTAGCATCGACGCATGAGTGGAGCGAGTGGCTCCAGGAAGATCCCCAGAACGAGCATTTAACGATATGCGTCATCGTCGGGACTTCCACCGGCACTCTCGTGGCCGACGGGTTCGTGGACGATGGAGCCCGGCGTGAATCATTTGGGCGGTTTGGGGGAGCCGCCGGCAGGCCAGCGGTGAGGGTGCGCGCGGGGGCCGACGACGAATGCATCATGAGCGCCGCAGCGGAGCACGCCTTCGAGCTGGCACAGCTGGCACGAGGGCTACGAACATCCTGGACCTTGGATGGGGTGCCTTTGTGCTCTTCATGGTTGGGCTTTCCACCTGGGGAAGTTATTCGTTATATGGGGATCTGCACGCGGCCTTGGTCCCTCGGCGAAGGAGCCCATGCTCTTGAACCACATTGTGACCATGGTTCGACTGTACTCGACGTCTGGATCGGAGGAGCGCTGAGCGGATGCTCCCAAAGACAGACGTGTTGAGGGTGCGAGTTCACGCTCGGCAGTGGCTCCCTGGCGCTTCGTCACGCCCGTCTGTGCCTGTTTACGCCAATTGCGCTGGCCAGGGGGCTTGCTCGACAGCTGCCCTCCTTATCTCTTCCGCGGGCCCCAGGATTTGGCGCAGGAGGTCTCCGATGTGGAGCTGGACGCTCTCGGGGAGTCCACGGTGCGCGACTCCTCACGCACGATTGGTGCGTCACGCCTCGCACACAGCCTCTGGAACACCGTCGCCCTCCGTCTGGATCTCCGATACGCGTCGTACTTCTGGTCTTTCGCCTCCGGACAGCATCTCGCGAGCCCAGCGTTCATCTGTGGGGTTCTCTCTTGCCAGCGTCCATCTTGCTGGTCTCTCTCCGCTTGGTACGCCAGGTCGCTGTCGTTAGCGGATCTGGTGGCATTGCTGTCTTCGCAGTTGCTGCAGCTGGGTCTCCCTCGGCTTGTGCTGGGTCTGGAGGTCCAGGAGGTCCAGGAAGGAGGTCCAGGAGGTCCACGTCCTCCATTGCCTATTCTCTTGCCGCTAGACTGGCGACCAGGGAACATGACTCAGTATATGAACTCTGAGCCAGACCTTCTGGTCTTGATTCGCCGCAGATCTGGAGCTACTTGGCTCCGCTATCAATGTCGGCAGCACGCTTCGAAATTGCCAAAGCTCCCTCGCACGAAGTAAGGAACAAGAATATGGAATATATGGACTAGGATGGGATCTAACCTATTCGCTCGTAGTTTGTCTGACTCAGGGGACACTCAGTAACATTCGATATAAAACAGCAGCGGGCGCACGCTCGCAGTACAACTGGCTGTCACAACGCGTTGCTGCAGTGGCCCAGAGCTGTGCCATCGACATCCTCCTTCTCCCTGTCCTCCTCTCTCTCTATCTCTCTCTCTCTATCTATCTATCTCTCTCTCTCTCTCTCCTGCTTTCCCCGGTTTCGCTCTCGTGACCTCACCCCCTCCCGTCTTCGTCGTCGATGTTGCCCTGCGCGCACGCGCCAGGCGCATTGCCCCCCCCATCCGCGCACATGTTTTTCTTGATGAACTGCTCCGTCCCCCCCAAGTTGGTCCACCGCTTGCAGCCGCCCCGTGGACACGTGAGAAAATGTGCCCCGCGCACACCCGCCAGGCACATGTTGCTCCTCCCCCCCTCCGCGCACGTATTCACACATGTGAGAAACATCCTCCCCCCCTCAAAGTTGGGTCCCCGCCTGGGGGCCGTTGACTCGTGAAAACACGTGCCCTCCGCGCACGCGCAGGGCGCATGTTGCGCCCCCCCCCGTCCGCGCGTGCATTCTTACATGAGAAGAGTCCCCCCCCAACAGAAGCAAACGGGCGAAGGACCCAATCATATGCAAGTGTGAGTACAGCGTTGTGGGCACCGCTTTCGGCGGAGCTCCCCAGGGGGCCACGAAGCGCGTGAGAGGTGTCCTGTGCTGAGTGGGGGAGACGCATGCGGCCGCGGCCCCTAGTGTCTTCGGTGGAGCCCCCCATGGGACCACGACGCGCTGTACGGGGGGCGCATGCGGCCGCGGCCACTGGGGCCTTCGGTGGAGCCCTATGTGGCCATATGGGGCCGCGAAGCGCTGCACTGGGTGGGAAAGGCGCATGCGGCCGCGGTCACTGGGACCTTCGGTGGAGCTCCCTGTGGGGCAACGAAGCGATGTAGTGTAGCAGTGGAGGCAGCCGCGGCCACTGGGGCTCCCGGTTGAAGACG